TATGTCACAAAATAAGCATGAAAGAAAATAGCATGAAAACACCTGAGCGGTAAATATAAAAGTTAAAATAAATGCGACAAATGATGTGCATAAATTTTTATGAATGAATGTTGTCGTATCTTAAATATTTCTTTTTGTTTTTTTTTTTATTTTTATCTACGAGTGTAATGATAATAAAATCTTTGTTGTATTGTAGCTTTGAGATACGAGCATAGTGAAGGAATAAGCAATAAGGAGCTTTTCAAGTGACACTTCTACATGTAAAACTATTATAGTATATGGAGATGACATTAAGTGTTCTCTTTTCACAAAAAGTAGTGATAACTTTTTCGTTTATTCAATAAAGTAAAGCAATTTATTTATAATCCTTTTAACTTGCATTTAAAGGAAATCCACTTCAATGTCACTTGCAAAGATATTCTTTCAATTTGATAGTATGGAACTAATAATAAATTCAATAAACGCTGCTGAGATACAAGGAATTTATTTATATTTCATATGAAGAGAAAATCCATCGTTTTCGTATGATTATTTGATAACACAATGTATCTTATCTCATTTTTTGTATTATTAAAAAATATTTCAAGGATTTTTAATAATTTCTGCTACTGTACTTGATCATTCAAAAAAGAAATAAAATTTGTTTTGCAGATAAAAAACTATATAGTCACTCAGTGAAAAGTGATAGGTTTACATTAAGTAAAAGGAATGACTTAATTAGACAGAATTAGAATAAAAATTGTTTTTCAGTTAAAAACTTATATAGTCACTCAGTGATAAGTGATAGGATAATATTATTTTTCAGATAAGAAACTAAATACTTACTCAGTGATAAGTGACAGGATTACATTAAGTGAAAAGAATGACTTAATTAGACAGAATAAGAATAAAATTTGTTTTTCAGATAAAAAACTATATAGACACTCTGTGATAAGTGATAGGATTACATTATTTTTCTGATAAGAAACTATATAGTTATTCAGTGATAAATGATAGGATTACATTAAGTAAAAGGAATGACTTAATTGGACAGGATTAGAATAAAATTTGTTTTTGAGATAAGAAACTATATAGTCGCTCAGTGATAAGTGATAGGATTATATTATTTTTCTGATAAGAAACTATATAGTTATTCAGTGATAAGTGATAGAATTACATTAAGTAAAAAGAATGACTTAATTAGACAGATTTAGAATAAAATTTGTTTTTCAGATAAGACACTATATAGTCACTCAGTGATAAGTGATAGGATCATATTATTTTTCAGATAAGAAACTAAATAATTACTCAGTGATAAGTGATAGGATTACATTAAATAAAAGGAATGACTTAATTAGACAGAATTGGAATAAAATTTGTTTTTCAGATAAAAAACTATATAGTCACTCAGTGATAAGTGATAGGATCATATTATTTTTCTGATAAGAAACTATTTAGTTACTCAGTGATAAGTGACAGGATTACATTAAGTGAAAAGAATGACTTAATTAGACAGAATTAAAATAAAATTTGTTTTTCAGATAAAAAACTATATAGTCACTCAGTGATAAGTGATAGGATTTCATTATTTTTCTGATAAGAAACTTTATAGTTACTCAGTGGTAAGTGATAGGATTACATTAAGTAAAGAAAATGACTTGCAATCTATATTAAAAAATATAGATTGCAATACCCACTGCATTCCGTTTAGAACAGGGCTGTCCAGACCAGATACGATCGCGGTCCAATACAAGTCATTGTGTAAATTGAAAGGTCGAAAAGCATATACATACGCTTTTTTGGAGAATAATAAAAATACGATGATAATGTTAAATTAAGTTTTACTAATTCATTTATTTGAATTCATTTTCTTGGGATTCCGTAAAAATAAAATCAAATGGGATACCAGAAAATCTATCACCAAAATATATCAAACGAACGTTTGCGTGATTAGAAATATATCGCGGGCTGCATCTGGACATGGACAGATGCTTTAGACGTTCCCTGATTCAGATCACTGGTATATAGTAATTACCAAATACAAAAAAAAAAAAAATACGGATTAATTTACTGAAAAGAAGAAGAAGAAGTGATTATGCATTTTAGCTTTGACTACCCAGGCTTGGTGAACAGAAAATGTGGAACTTGTTAGACTGTTCAACGGTAACGACAAAGGATCTGTTAAGTTGACAATAAAACACCCTAATATTTATCTAACAGTGTTTTTTGTTAAGCATGTGATATTAAAATAATAAGTGATATTCATGATTAAGTAAGTAAGTCCTGTGCAGCCACTAGAAAATCCATTACTTTAATCCATGCTTCACAATCCATGCTACACAATCCATTACTTTCAAGCATATTATAAGTTTGAATCAGCGTAGAGAAAGTTAACCTGAGAGCTTGTCTATGTAAAGTTATTAGCTGAAATGTTATTTAAATGAAAAATATTAAATGAATATTAAATGAAAAATTAATTAATACTAATATTTTCCATAAATTCCTTTTCTGAACTGAAAATTATATATGCTTAAATGAAAATATATTTAAAAGATAGTTGCGGACTTGTTGAGTCTTTATTACTAAGGGAGGATATTAACCGCAATTTTGAGTCAAGTTTTTTACTATTTTTAATCATTATTTAATGTGATTATAATATCCTACATTTTGAAAGTGATTTTTTAAGCAATTGGTTAACTTTCAATTAACTCTGTTTTACAGTAAACTAAATTTTTTTTGGTTTTATTTTAATTAGTAGTCTCTTTAGTAGAAGAAATCAGTAGTTGTAAATAGAGAGTGTGGGATTAATCTTTTTGTTGTATTTTGATAGTATTTTTAATGAAGGGATTAAAAGTTGTCTTACAAAGTGTAGGATTAAAAGTATTTACATGAGTTCTTTGCACTATGTAATGGTAATAAACCAAATAAAATTAAATGTCGGAATGTGAAGCCTCGATTTGAATAAAATCCAGGTCATAGTGGTGATGGCCAAAGAACTGAAAATATCCCAGCAAAGCATCCAAAGCATATTCTAAAATCATTTCAAGATAAAGCCCTACAAAGTGGCAAAAGGCACAAGATTTTACACCAAAGCAATAAAAATTTAGACTCAAAAGTGCAAACGAGTTGTTAAGCTTGCACGATCGTTGGCGAAACATTGTGATCTCTGATCATTGAACTGTCAAAATTGTTGTGTTTACTTAATTGAACACACTACCGAAATTTTAAGACTACGAATGGCCAACTGAAGTAATTTTTCAACTGTAGTAATGGTTTGTGCAGCTGGAACCACCGATTGACGCTTCTCAACCGTTTTCATCGAGCCTGGTGTGAGAGTCAATTTAATACTGCGAAAATATTTTGGAAGTGAAGTTGCTTTAGAGCCGTTGGCACGCAAACATTTCGATCGTAAACTATGGACGTTCTAACAAGACTCGACACCGGTCTATAGAGCATGTGGGAACCAAGAATGGTTAAAAATCATGCTTCACACTTTACTTCGTCCAGACAATGGCTTTCGAATTCAACAGATGCAAAACCGATGAACTATTCCATCCGGGCCATTTTGTTGAGCAAGGTGAGGATTAAGAAATATGACAGTATGGATGCGCTAAAGAAAGCCATTATTCAGGAACGAGCCAAAGTATCGGAAGATTATATTTGTGAAGCATGCAACTCATTTTTTAACCATTGGAAGGTAAAGGTAAAAGGTTGCCACATCGACCTAGAGTGATTGAACTTAAAAATTTTGATTATTTCTACAAATTTTTGTATATTGAATGAATAAAAATTAATTTCGCACAAAAAAGATATGGTTGCTTGAGTAAGTAACAGTTCTATCGCTTAACCCTGTATGTGCAAGAAACGTATTCCAAGAAAGTTTTTAGAGACAAACTCAATATGTGATATATTTATAGCTTAAAATAAATTTATTCTGATTGTATTTTACTATATATATAGATACACATGAACTGGAGTTAATGTATATTTAGAAGTCTGAAAAATATTTTCACGTCTAGGTTATGAAAATAAATTTTAATTAAAAAAAAAATAATATGAAGCAAAATGGAATTAGATATTTACGTGTTAAGTAAAATGTCGCAAAAGTGAATGAAAACATCTTTGGCAAGTGAAGATTAACAAGTGTTAGGAAAAGTCTTTTTAGAGTGCAAAAATAAAATAAATTACAATTCAAAAAAAAGATTTTGAAATGACTTTTGTGAGTTTAATTTGAAGCACACATTTTACACATAAATTTTTGTTATTTATTCTGAAGTTGTTATGTTTCCAAGTAGAACCAAAATAACACATCCAACAGGGCATTGAACTCAACCGTCTGCCGAATGAGTCCTCAGCAACCGTTGCCATTTCAGGTGTTAGCAATTTATTTACTGATCCGAATTGCTTTCACATGTTGTTGACACATCATTACAACATCGTAACAATGTTGCTACAATACCAGAAAATGTGTTTCTCAACGAATTACATGATTTTACGTATTTATGCATTTATGTGGACACTTGCAGAAATTAACTTTAAATAGTATTTTGTATACTTTTTGTAAATATTTGGGTAATTTTATGTGTTTTCGGCTGCGTAACTTTTTTATGTTCGCGGACGTAACAGCATGCAAATGTCTGCTGTCGGAACTGGAAATGGCCAAATCACGCGTGTGACACTTGTTACAGTTGCTGCCAACATTAATCAGCAATTACGAATGGCACGTCAATACATAACCACACCAACAGCAGCGATAGCAACAGTTGCTAGTTGCTCGCCAATGGACTTAATTTCGCTTTTAATTGAGGCTCGAGCCGGTGTGCGATAACAACGTGTGGCCGATTTGTTGAAACGTTGCAATCGTTAAGGTGCAAGTCTCGTAATGATTCGCACTCAAATGTGTTTTTTATTTTCTATTTTTAAATTTCGTTAAATACTTAAGTCTATTTGCGTCATTAATTATAAATTTTTTGAATAAATAAACATTAATCTACTAATATCATTAACTACTTAAATCTGCCTTAATAGCTACCATCTTTAACAATAATAGACTTAGCGTGCCCAGTCGACTTGAGACTCATCACGGCAGCGAATAGCGCGAAGAAGAAACCCGCCACGCCAGTGCTGCCCACCAGCAGGGTCAGACCGGCTACCAGTACTGGTACTAGCGTAATAAATTTAAGCTTATAAGCCAGCAGCAGCGGAAGCAGCAATTTTTTGAATTGCTTTTTGAGCTTCTTCTTCTTCGATTTGCGACCTGTTCCAATGGATAATTCATTTGTTGCTGGTTTACCGAATGCGCGTATTGATGAGATACTGTTATGACCTTGAACTTCACCCGATGCTCCCACATTGTACACATCTTCATCATCTTCGGTGTCGGCATCGTCTTTAGTTTCTGCAAAAGATACAAATAAAATATGAAAAATATTTTTTTTATTTTCGGATTCTGTTTCACAGATGATTAAATAGATTTACAAAATAAAAGATTATTGCATTGAAAAAGTATTTATGATGAATATAAATATTTCGTAATTAATAACTTTCACTAAATAATGCAATTATTATTATTTTTTGTTTTATTTATTGATTGCTCTTCTATTTCAGGAAATTGTTGTGTTGGTACTGTCACTCAATCCAAAGTGAACTATATTTATAGATACTTCTATATGTTAACGAAAAAGTTACTAAAAAAGATATAACAAATAGGGATGGAATATAAATACAAATAAGGATGGTGATATTGACGAATAACAGCATTTTCTAAGCATATAAATTTACCAAATGTATAATTTTATCCATTTACATACACGGTTATATGAATGCACGTAGTTAAATATTCGTGTAAATATATCAATCTGCTATATAAAAGCACTATTTATATCACCAATAATTATGACAACACAAAATGTAATGCTCAGCAGTGCAATTTTTTAGCCAATATCGTAGCAATATTGAATGTTTGTACAAACTTTATTAGTCAGTTGAGTCACTAACAACAAATTATAAAATAAAATACCGAAATTGAGTGAAAAGTCCCAATTAATTATAGATATTGTTGTAAATGTTTGCTTGTGTTAGAATGCAACTCTGTATTGACAACAGATAAATTTATACGATATAAATTTATTAGGTAATATTTTCGTATAAATTTATCAAGTTTGTGTGAACTATTTTTCATACAAAACTTGAAACTCATTAACCAAGCATTTAAATTTATACGGTATTACGAAAAAATATATTATATCTTTATAGATTTTAAGTAATTTCTATTAATAATGTTAACTTTCTTGTACACTGAAAGCAGTCTATGTACAAAGTAAACCTACCCACTTGCAGATACTTTAATGTTTTAATAATATATCTTTAGCTGTTTATAAGAATCCTGTAATGAAATTCAAAACTAGATAATAATGGTGTATGTTGGTGTGATCTGGCAACGCTGAACTTGCATGTGACATTCTAGGTAGAATTTAACCTATGCGGATATAACTGCCATAAAATATATATATAACATATATTCTAGTATGTCCTCTTCGTCATAATTTTGTCTACTCCACTATACATTGTGACCGAAAAGCTTTCGGAAATTCTCATTTAAAATTCGCGCGCTGTATATTTTTCGATATTTTAAGTTTATGTAGTTGGCAGCACTGTCCTTAATTTACTATGCAAAAAATGAGCGCGATCTGTCAGACAGTTCGTTTACGGCAGCTGTTGAAACCAGTTCCCCTCAGTAGTGCGTTGCGAAAAAACAATGGAAAAAAATATTGAACAAAGAGTTTGCATCAAATTTTGTGTTTCGAACGAAATTTCGTGTGCAGAATCGTTGCGAATGCTACAAAAGGCTTATGGGTAATCAGTTTTATCGAAAACTCAAGTTTATGAGTGGTACAAAGCCTTTCAGGACGGTCGTACGACCGTCGAAGACATGCCGCGTTCTGGACGACCTTCGGCCTCTACCACCGACGAAAACATTGAAAAGGCAAAGGAAATCGTGTTCCAAAATCCTCATGTGAGTGTTAGAGAGATAGCACGAGAGCTAGGCATCGGTCGTGAGAGCTATCCGCCGTAAACGGCCTCAATTGTGGAAGGATAATTCATGGATTTTTCATGACGATAATGCTCCCTCGCACCGAGCCAACATTATCAACGATTTTAAGGCCAAACATTCAATAAATACCATCAAACAGCCACCGTATTCACCTGATCTTGCACCGTGTGACTTTTTCCTGTTTCCCAAACTCAAATTACCACTCAGAGGAACGCGTTTTGAATCCATAGAAGACGAAAAACAGAATTCGCAGAGGGAACTCAAAGCCATACCGGAAAGCGCCAATAAAAAATGTTTGTATGATTGGAAGAACGTTGGCATTTGTGTATCGCTTCTAATGGAGCATATTTTGAAGGAGATAAAATAAATATTGATGAAGATTAAGAATTTTGCGTTTTATTTATTTATTTCCGGAAACTTTTCGGTCACAATGTATGTCTCTATATACTATATAGTAAAATAATAATGATGCTTACTAATTCAATGTTAAGAAGGTACACACTTTCAAGATACTCTTAATTCATACACCTGTGAGCGGTATAAAAATGTGTACTTAAAATAAATTTTTCTAATTTTTTCTAATAAAAATAAATTGATTAAGGATAACATACATTATACATTCCAAAAATTTACTAAACTTTCGCAAAATTGTAAATATAGTTTATGTTATAGAGTTTATGTAAACATAACTGCATTTTAAAATGTAATTCAGATTATTTGCTGTTTTTTGCCCACTATATTAGATCCAACTCAGTTGTGATGTTAGTAATTTACTTCGAAAGAGGCTAACAGATTAAAAACATACAACTCCTAGTTTTGAACTAGTTTATCTCCTAGTTTTTTTTTGAATAATTGGATGTTCACTTCATCCAAATCAACTATAATATCGCAGTGAACTTAAATTATAGCAAGCGTCTTCAGCACACTATGGATTACTAAATTTAGCGGAAGAGTTTGTGGTCTTTTAATCATAATAACAATCTTTCGGTGCTTGTTCTTATTCATTTCAAAAGACACATTTCAGGAAATGTGTTCTAGGAAACATTAAGTATTAAATTTGTCACTTCAAGTTTTTGTAAAAAATTAAAGACCTTAATTCACTATTAACTATTAAAGAGAAAACGTATTAATACTAGCACTTACAGGTTGCTAAAGAACTTATACCAGCAGCTGAAATTGACAAGATTCGCGAACATCTCATCGAAGAAGCAACCAACTGGGCTGAAGAAGTAACTGCCGAGGCTTTTGGCGGTACTGAAGATTGGAATGACGATGATGTTAAGAACTAATGGGGTGTTGATGGCAACTTCTAAAATTTTTTTGTATGTTTTATAACATAGCACTATTGCAACAGCAAAATAAATACATTTTTTGGCACCCAACGGGGAGCATAAACCAATGACACTGAGATTAAGAGTCTCATGCTCTCTCGACTGAGCTAGCCGGGCCGTAATAGTTAAGATATAAAAGTTGAAATTTACATGAATCTATGTGGTATTTTATATATACTAACGTATAGATTAATGTAAATTTTAACTTTAATGTCTTAACTATTACGAATATATATGTCTCTATTACGAATATGTATTATTAAAAATATATATTAAAAAAATTTCAATTTATATTTTATTAATAAAAAGGGAGTAATAGCTGTTGTCAAAGAATATTTTAATATTTGACGGTATCTGATAAACATATATAATTATTTCAGGACTTCATTAGATAAAATTTTTGGGTTTGAAAATTTCTTCACTCTAACTTCGTTTTATAATAATAATATATATATTATATTTACACGATATTTTACGTTTATAATTAATTTTAATTTCACGTTGGCAATTTCATGTTAAAATTTCAATCTTTTATTTCATTCTAGATTTTATGGAACAATTTTAAACAAACAGTTAAAAGGAAGTAAATTTTCTGCAAGAAATTTACAACAAACGAAATTTCTCATTAAAACTGAAAGCTTCTAGAGAATTTGATTCAAAAAGTTAAATTCATCACAAATTTTTCAATTTATCTAAGCTTGGCAAACTCACCTTCATCAGCATTAACATCAACGTTTTCATCAGCAGCATCATCAACACTGCTAATCAAGTACTTCACAGCATCACAAAAATCTATAACTTTATCCAGAGTGTTTCGCAATGGCACAAACATTTCATTAAGACGAATATCTTCGACATCATCGGAGGTGTAATCAGCAGCAGCAAGCGACGGCGAATCAGCCGCATCATCGTCAGTTCCGTCAACACTACTGTCGATATCCTGTAATCTATTCAAGTGTTTATTTGGGCTAATGCTGTTTGCACTCATAACATCCTTTGGCGAATTGCGACTGTAGATTGTTGAGGCGGGCAGCTTGTGTCTTGTCGACGTACTACCTGGCGATGTATCGGTACGTCGCATGTGGCTTATTTGTAACACATAAGGCTCTATGGGTTTAATATCCGACTGGTAATTTCCGCCGCTTTGATTGTATGCGTAATAATTAACAGGATGTCGTGGAGTTTGTGCGTATATATGTGGATGAGTTTTAGTGTAGGTATATGTGTGTGTATGTTTGCGTGTTGGTTGAGTGCGTGCCGCACTCTTTCCCGCCGCTGTTTGCAGAATAATCCAATTATTGCGCGACATTGGCTGCCACGTATCTTGTTTATCATAAGAATCTGCGGAATTTACCGAATTAATGTTATTCAAATGTGAACTCGCTCGCACGGTATAGACGGTTAAACTGGCGGTGAGTAGACACAGTAGCAGCAGACGCGGTTGCAGCATTTTCAGTTATGTTTCAATTTTAAAAATAAAAATAAAAATCCTTTAAGAAAATTTTTCACACCGTATGTTTTCATTAAAAACTGTGCCTCTTTTCACTTAAAATCAGAAATATTCTTTGGCGAGTTGATCTGCACTTGCTACCCGAGTGACGACAATTGGTTCATCATCCGCACAAAGTTCAACGGCAAGTAAACGGTTTTTACCAAACGATCGACATTTTATCAATTTTCACCAAATGATTTCTACATTTTTTATTTGATTTGTTGTAGTTCACTGAATTTTATTACATTTCGCTAGAAGCACATAAAATGGGGAACATATTAAGATACTGACAATAAAGTTCCATACTAAAAGAGAAAAATTAAAAAGTAGAAAATTATAGTCTTTAGTAGAGTCACTTTAAGAAAAGTATACGATAAGTAGAGAAACCATTAAGAAACTTAAACAAATTTTATAGCCGAATGCGAAACACGAAAAGCGAACTTTTTCATGATCATTATACCGTCAACACAAGATCTTTTATGCTAAACTATTTGACCAAGTCGGTAACGCCTGCCTCGTGTAACTACTGGAGCATTATGACTTGATGTCTGCAGGTGCTTGTGTTTCTTGTTAATGTGACTCTTCATGACTACCAAAAGTCAAAATTCAGAAAAAAACTTTATTAGGTTTATGACTGTAGCCGATCTGTAATGATCATAATAACTTTATTTTAGTTTCTTGTGTAGATTTAAGCCGCTTAATACCGCTGTCAGTATTTCTAATTTCTTTTCTTTTGTTGTGCTTTGTCTTGTTTTCTAATCATGTTGAAATTTTTCTACCAAATAAAATAGATTATTTCAAAAAAATGCCTGTTTTGTAGGTTACTTGTTATCAAATTATTTGCCTTATTTGTTTTTTGGCAGACACTTTTTTGATGTACTGTGATAATGAGATAAGTGGCGAGTGTTGAGATGCAATCTCTTTAAGCTGATTTTCAGTAAATAAAATAACTTATTCCGTTACAGGTTACAAGTGCTGGGACTAACGAACTTAACACCAAATTTAAGCATACAATAAAACTTATTCCAAGCACAGTTAACTACACAGAGAAGTTCAAATATAAGTATCTTACTTATAATAGAGCAAAGTAATGGGCTGCCTTCTGGCTAGTTAGAGAATTGGACTTACAATAAACAAGTTAGATTTTTTGCTTTATATGAAATTGACAGCTGTATTCTGTTGATGAAAAAGAAGTGATCTGGTTTGTAAAGGCTCCAGCTGTACGATGACTGGGACATATGTATATTGAGAAGGTAGTAATTCAAAACGTAGGAGGGATCCTGAAAAAGATGAACTAATGCTCTTAAAAATGACTGTAAAAAGATGAATGCATGAATCTACCTACTATCTATAATTGAATGATCAAGATGGCAGAAAATCAGTACAAAAAGAAGCTTTGACCATCTTAGAATTATAATGAAAATAAAATATAAACCAATATTATATATAAGCCTACTCAAATCTTTTCGAATTAGAAATTGTTCAACAAATTTTGATGCGATATGAATATATGACCTTTTAGAAGTTTTAAATAATTACATTGAGCACATCACATAATATTGATAACTGTGAATTTTCAATAAAATAAGTTAAAGAACAAAAACTTCATTAAATTTTTACATAATGAAGACATACTGAAGACACCACATTATTCGTGCAACTCAGTGACTGAATGAAGCCATGCCATGCAATTTAATACCTGTCTAAATGTGAAACTTCACTCTCCTACCTTTATTATTGATAGTCAATAGTGGTCAAATATGATAATAATAAATTTATTTTCATACATCTACGTATATATATATTTCTAATATAAGGTAATCAATTTATAGTGCAGTTTGTTTTTAATAACTAGAACTGAGGACTAATCATTGCAGTATATTTCAAGTTGAAGTTGTTTCAACACCATGTCGTAAAATGGATAAAAAGTTGACTTAAATTATATATATGTAATTTCATTAAAACATTACTAAATTCCTTTGAAACGTAAAACTATTTCTGGTCACCTCAAAATCCATCTAAACGTCACATCATCGCAGTTCGACTTGTTTCAAGTTTCTGGTATTTTTTCACTAGATATCGCAACTAGTCGCAATATACGAAAAAGCAGAAGCATGCAGATCATGTGAATATGTCACCATACTATAACTAAAAGATACTTCCACATCGTATTGTACGATCATAGCATTTAATGAATGCTTAAATCCTATGTCCAGATATTCAAAGCAGCAACTACGACAAGTAGATGGTTTCCTCTCATATTCTTTTTCAATATTACATAGATATATAGATAAGATGTGGTATTGTCATACTTGAAGACAAGTAGCAGTTATATGAACATTTTAAATAACACTAAATATTTACCTCTTGCATAAGTTAATTTCTTCCTCAATCTTTCTGTAATGATAATAAACCATCAATTATAGTATCTCATGAGGAGGTTAGATTGTTTTTCGCTTACAGTATTTATTATATTCATAAATAAGCAATATTTTTCAAGAGGAGTCAAAGGAAGGTCCGAAAAACAAATTAGTTTGCAAAAAAGTCATTTTCAAATTCCTTGTATTGGACAAGTATAATTCTTATAATAACATAGTATACAGTTATTTAGCAATTCATATTACTTATTATTTAGCAAAAGACTAAAAGTTTTATCTAATCCTGAAGTACAAGTGTGTGAAATTTTGTTCCACATGCTTTAACAAATGTAGAAAAGGAACGATTAAATCTTAAGAAGCAGAAAATAATATACTTGCGAAATAGAAAGTATATTATGCTATCGAAAAGAGAACAATAAACAATAAATGGGATATATTAATCTAATTCACTCTGCTTCGTTTAACTGCCATGAGGTAAACATAGACTTAAAGAACAATGAACGTATAGACCCCGTGTAGCATTTTCCTATTCTTTCTCTGTCCTAAACCTTCAAAAGTAGTCACAGCAGAAAGATCCTAATTTAAGGAAAGAATCATTAGAATTCAGTTGTCTTGTTCCGGTGTCAATGCCTGTCTAAAACGAAAATAATGACGACAGATATTAAATAGAAACTTTCATCAAGAAGCTGCACTTACCTAGTCCATTCTACTGCCACAAAGAAAGCAGAAACTTAGAAAGGAAAAAACTTATAGTGGAGTACAGGCATCAATACAGCGTCGAACATTGAAGGTAATACTGACACAGTAGATAAGTAATACTTTTCACTTCCTCATCTGACCTAAAACTCCGAGATTGGGGAAAAGAAGTGTTCTCGTCATATATAAAGAAATTTTTACTCATCAGTTGTCTTGTTCTCATGTGAGTGATTTTTTATTTTTTAATTGCTATTTTACGATTTCTGAGTACTGTTTATAGTTAATTTTTGCGAAGAAGGCGTGTAAACCAAAAGTACTAAAACATAAACTTTGAGAAAAAATTCATTTGAAAAGAGTACTCACTTCATTAATATCTTAATATAATTAACTTTTATGCATTATTTCTGCAAATTTATTTAAAAAAATTACATATTTTTTATAACATTGTTTATAATATCACTTGAATTTTAATTAAAATCAGTAAAAGATATCTTTTCCAAATGCCATATATACATATTTAAGGAACACAATATCATCTATAATTTAATACTTTATAAATTTTATTTTATTTTATTTATTTTATTATAAAATAAATTTTTTTAGAATTTCTAATAAAAGAAATTTTTAAAATTAAAATCATGGAAGTTATAGTTTTGTGTAGGACAAAAACTGCACAGCAAAGTATTTATACAAAAGTATCTAACTAATGCTCATTCCATTCACCTTTCTCGAATAAACTTTTTTGTTAAACTTTTTTTTAATGAAATTATATTTTATATTTGTAAGTTTTAAGATTCCAAAAATTCTTATTTACACATTAGCGGAGTCACTTTTATGCTAAATCGAAGATGCTTGCTTGACGCGCTAAGGGAAACTGAAACTCGTTGCTAATGTCTTCATACTTTTTAAATCTTTCGCAAGAAAGTTTAGCTAAGTTTTTCCAATTAAACAAAGTTAATTTGGCGTATTTTCGTGGAAATATGAGTTTTGTATTTTGCTGTTTTGGAAGAATTGAGCACTTTCTGGTGAGGTAAACATTTTCCATGGAGCAAATCGTGAACAATTTCTAATTACGGTCCTTGGATGTGAGCAGGTAAATGGTTTCTGCTGGTGTTTATTATAAATTACAAACGCTTTTATCACTGCTGCCAGTTGTACGGGGAGAAACTTGAATATTTTCAGGTTATTACAGTACCATTTTATGTGGCTTTAGAGTGAGTATTTGAAAAGGTTTACTAATGAGATGAAAATTTTAAGGTAACCTAAGCCACACAAAAGTGATTAAAAAATTCAGGTTAATTTCTGTGAGATCTGAACGTTAATTAATTTTTTTATCGTTCACGTTCAACTCTATTTACGTTATTTGATGCCTGATAATAAATTTTAACATGAATTATTTATTCAATCGAAACTAATGACATTTAAAAATAAATTAAACAAACATGGCTACAATTTTGATTAGCTGTTAAATTAATGATGTGTTTTATTTTCATTCAAGTTGGAATAAAAGTCAAAGGAATAAGAAGGGTACACCCTTTGGACTACTACATATAATTCATGCCTGAACTCAAGCATATTTGAATAATTTGCCAATTGAAAGGGAAAATAATTAAATATTGATGAGTAATTAAATTTATAACAATATTTTATACATTCTAATACATGATTATATTCGGATCACTACTCGAATTTAAATTTAAATATGAATAATTACAGGTATTTCTGAGTTTAATACATTCAGTCTGCTTATGTTAGTATTATTTATACTTACTTTTAATTGCTTTCACTTTCGAAAGAAATTTTTAAATAACATTCACAATACAAAAAAATAAGTTGTCATCGATCATTTAATATACTTACCAAGGCAATGTAACTTGAAGAAAT